AGTAAGAACCGCCTCCAGTGTTTGGATTCCTGCTGCTGCCTGTATCATATTTCAAAACATGCCAGCAGCTCCATGGCCTTTGCTCCCAGGCTCAGGTTGTGTGGATCTAAACAGAGGCGGGGAGAGAGGGCACCTGCAGCCTGGCTGAGCTCTGAGCTACTGAACAACCACACTGGGAGCTGCTTTGAAAATGAAAAGTCCATGTCAGACACTGAATTTCTCTGGCACTCAACCCAAAAGGTATCAGTTCCTTTGCCCCACTGCTCAGCAGCTTCAGGAGCACTTCAGTAGAAAGCTGCATTTATTTATTTGAGTGCTGAGTAGTATTTGCAATGAATAGGAGAGACAGTTACCTTGGCTGTTCCTTACCAGGAAGGAGGGTAAGCATCCCCACCTTTAGCATGCTAACTCTTAGGAAAAAGTCAAAATTGTAACTGCAGCTTCAAAATCTGCAGCTCTTTGCACCTTGTTGTTGGGTCAGCAGTTTGCCTGATAAGGGAGCCCTGACCTCCTCACCCATAGAGGAAAGTCCAAAGATCTTCAGAAGGTTTTGGGGCTGCTTACCAAAAAGCAGATATCCAGAAACCCATATAGGGAGGCAGCGTGGGAATACAGGCCAAAATAGATATGTAATATGGTGGAGGCTCCAGCTTCCACAAGGGAGTACAAATCTTGATTCATAACTTTTTAATGTCCCTCAGCCATTTGAAATGCCCCCTTCATCCCAAAGGATGTCTCCTTTGAGTGACATGAACTGGATCTTACTGGATCTACAATTCAGTGCCATAGTTACTCTGCTTCCTGTAATCCCTTTGATGCTGAAGGGAACGACTTCTCTATTATCTTTACTTTTAAAACTTGGATTTCCTGTGTGGGGAAGTCTTTATGTTAAAAGCAAGCAGAAAAAATGCTGTAAAGAAAGAGGTGGATGTGCTCAGATTGCGAAGCAGCTGATCTAAAGGCAGTGAGACCCTTAGGGAACCCTGGGCCACAATAGTTGACATTTCAAGCAGGAAATTATGGTTTATTTAACTAACTGAACTGAAAACTTTCAGGGAATTTATATGAGTGGAATAGAATTAGTAAGAACATTTAGCTAAGACACATGTGAAGACTAAAACTCCTCTGGATGTAAGAAAGAGAGATTTTGCATCTGGAAATGGAAGTGGCCTCTGCTTTTTGATTCATCTCAAAGATAAGGTGGGCAAGGGATGCCATGAGGGAGTTCCTACTTGCTTATCAACACAGCTGGTTACAGTGGCTGCTGCTTCTCTACACAGTTTCCCTTCAAGCCACAGACCTGCCTTGAAGTATTTGAGATAAAATAGCACAATCTTGCAACTAGGCTAGCCTGCTCCTAAATATGCATGTTCTTTCAAATGCACTTTCAAAGCACTTTTCTGAGTTAAAAATTACCTTTTTGATCAATAATGGTGTTTCTTTTCAGAGGTTTTCTTCACTTTTAGCACTTTATGCAGTAAACACTGTGATTTTTCACTCCCTGTGGCAGTGAACAATATCCAGGAGTTTGACTTTCCTAGAGGATCTGACTACAGACACCAAGGTGACAGAACAAAACCTGTCTAAGTCAGACAACTTTAGCAACAAGAAAGGAAATTGAGAGAACAGCACAGCATAAACACATTCATTATTCATCAGTTGATACCCCAGGGAGAAAAAATATCTGTGAGCAGTTTTTGTGTTTCACAAACCAAGTCTGACTTTGCCAGGGCCTGGCAAAGATCCCAAAGGTGAAGTGCTCAATGATCTCCTCTACTTTGATCAGCAGAGGCATTCCCTATGGTCCAGGTTTCTCTCCTGTCCCTCTCCCTCCTCCCTCACAACCTACTGCTGGCCAAGAAAGTCTGCCAGGCCTGGAATGCATTGTCCCAGCTGCACTTGGGCCTATTTGGCAGTGAAAATGGCAGGTAGGTGTCCTTCTGCAAAGCACTGACCTTAACCTTCTTCTGCAGCCCGCTGGGAGAGCAGAGTTCAATGAACAAGGCTGGCTGCACTGCTGAAAGCTGTGGCCTTGGGAGAATGAACTTGTTAGGTTTGCTTCCAGCTGGATGGCTCCGGGTCAGCTTTATTGTGCAATTATACAAATCCTGATGCCAGCAAAAATAAGTCAGAGATACAGGCTGAGTAGAGGTTTCTTCTCCCAGCAGCTCTGCTGGCTTAGGCCATCCAGAAATGCTTGTGGGATGCCTGCTTCAAGAAAAGCTTTGCACAGCCATGCCAAATGTAAAACCCTCTGAGATGATTTTTCAGTCTCCTGCAATTCTGCACAAATCCTGGCATGGGTTTGCTCCTCCTTGTTGTCCTCCTCTGCTCAATTCCTGTGTGCTGCAGCTCTTTAAACATTCACAGAGCACTGCCTGGAGTAGAGTGCTTCAAATGGGAGTGAGTCTGCAACACCAAATCATCTCCTGCTGAGCATCACCAAATCATCACAACCTTGGGCAATCAGTCAACTGGTTTTGTGTTATTTAAGTTGTCCCAAAGGCTACATTTCAAAATCTGAAATGTATGGATTGGAAAAGCTGACAATAATTCATTGTGCTCAAGCTGTTTAGAATCACCACACAGACCTTTCTTGAAAAGATGGCTTTCAAGAGAGGGAATTTAACCAAATTCCACACTAGCTTGCTCCTCAGCTACAGTGAACAAAAAATCTTCAGAATATTTAGAATCTGATTTAAGCTAACAAGTCAAGGAAATACATGTTAAAACTCAAACTCCTGCTTGATGCTCTATTTGTAATTCATCCAGTCGTTAATGAGCCAGATTCTTGACTAGTATATATGGGCACAAATCCGCTTAAGCCATGCAAGAATTTGATTTATGCTTGCTACAAATCTGACCTTTCGTTCAGTGCTTCCTGGTAAATTCCAATCCTCTGCACTGTTCATTTAGTGGAATGGAATTAGATTTACCAAGGTATGCTCTGACAAAATGGATTGCTTTTCCCTTATATTTTTGTGCCAGGATAAAATGGTGGTCTACTTCAATGTAGCACTGTTAATAAGATAGGTTTTTTGAAGGAAACTCAGAAATTATAATAGCATTCATTACAATGACACATGTTTTTATCTCTCAAACTTATACCAAATTAGTACAATATGCTCCACAAATCACAACTTCATCCTAGGAAATGTGAGATATAACTGTAGAATAGAGCTTAAATAAGTTTAGCTAACAAGAAAATGCATAAAAGTTTAAATAGATGAAACCAAATTATTTGCTGAGAGTGTATTGGAATGAAAATACACTTGTATTTGCTTAACTGAACCTATTTTGCTCCAAATGACCTTATGTTCTTTTTTCCAAGTTCACAATCCCTGCACTGAGACTCAACACACTGCACAAAACCAGACTTACCAGGAGATGATAGTCAGGAATCTATTTTATTGGTTCAAATATAACGCTCTCAATGTTTGGCTATGCTAACTGCATGGTAAATACAGCTCAGGCCTGCAGAGAACCTTGCTGAGAAAATTGTGTGTGAGATTACGCTGCTGTGAAGTTCTCAGTATGGAGGCTACGCTCAAACCACAGAGCTCATGTAGGAGGCAGCAGCCTGTTTGCTAAAGTCTGCTTCCCATAGGTAGTATCTTACACTGCTGCTTTCAGTCTGCACCAGCTTTTGGTGACCTTCCTGATGACTTAAGAAGTTTGCACTGAATTGTTTACAACCTGACCAGGTCAAGAGTCCTCCTCTGGCGTGGCACTACAGCCATGGGGATTGGACATGCAAACATTAAGGTCGGTATGAATGGGGTATGACTGGTAGGATAAAAATGTGAAATCGTCAGGAAATGCCATGAAGGGGCACAGGAATGGCATGTGGAGCTTCTGAAGGCACCAGGGGTGGAAAACCAAGAGCAGCCTCCTGGGTGGATTGTAGACCTATGCTGGTGGCAGTTTTGTCCTAGTTTTGACTCCTATATCCATACTGGAGCTAGCACATGTCTAGCCATGGCTTCGAGGTGAACCCCTGACTTGTGCCGCAGGTTTGCCCTCAGCCCCATCTCCTGAGTGGACCATGGAGCTTCGTGTCAAGTTTGTCACTGGTGCCCTTGTTCTTCTGCTACTCCTGGATGCCCCCTGGCCCTAATTCATTAACTTTGCCTGGTTTGGGACAGTTGATGGACCCTGTTATCAGGATCCAGGTCTGTGTGCCAAGTTCAGGAGATAGACATAGTCACTGAGGGCACTGCTTGTGCTGAGACTCCCTTGGCTCCTGACTTGCACCATGGAGGCTGCAGGGCCACAACCATTTCCAGCCTCATACATGTGAAAGAAGGAGTGAAAACAGTCTGTGAGAGAAAGTTAGGTGTAAAATCAGATTAAGATAAAATGAACTTCCCCTTCCATCTGATTTTTCCAAACATGAGCAAAGAAAACATTCAGGATAACACTGATTTTCAAGGGGGGTGCAGGGGTTTTTATGCTGTTGATTCTGGAGCTCATTTTCTTATAATATGCAAAGGAGATTGGATTTGTCAGTCTTGGAGGGTGGGGGTATTTGGTGCTGAGAGTTTCTTCAAGGCAGGGAGAGAATGAGCTGAAGAGGTGCAATAAGTAGTGGAACACAATTTCAAGAAACAGTTCATTTTAAGTTGTTTTCATTTAGCAGGTTTGTATATTTTTATTTATATGTGTAATATAGTAGAGATACGTAAAAACATCTAGGAGCTTAACTTTCAGAAGTGACATAGCCCTTCCCAGAAATGAAGCAGATCCTTAAATCAGGCTCTCAGTTGAGAAATAAATCAAAAAAATTCTCTGTACATTTGAAAAGAAGATATTTTGGCTTCTGAGCAATATGAGAAAATGTACCATCCATTTGATCTGCTTCAGATGCCACAACCATCTGCAACTGCATGTGGCAAACACACGTTTCTCAGCTTTGCAGGCACGTATGATTATGAAGCGCTTCAAATAAAAGAGATAAACCTTTGAGATGCTCTTTTTGTTGTTCACTTATCTCTCAGCAGCGTTCCGTGGGAAGCTCTCCTCCTGGAAGTCTGCCGGGGAGGGCTCTGCGGAGCCTTTCGGCGCCGTTCGGAAGCGGCTGAGAAGCAGCCAAGGTGAAGAGCCGGGGCTGGCAGCAGCAGAGGGTGGCAGATGCTGCTCTGAGCACGCCTTTGCGCAGCGGTGCGGGCTCGGTGCCGCCGTACCAAGGACGCGGCCGCCACCTGCTGTCGCCAGCCCGGCCGGGGAGCGCCGAGGAGGCGCAGAAGCCGAGCCGGCCCTGCCCATCGGCGGCTCCCGCGGGACGGAGCCTTCGTTTCGCAGCTGCGTCACTTCCAGCCTTGTTTGCAGCTCTTACCTCTGATTTATTCCTTCGCCGGTTCTGTGAGCTGGCGTGTGGATGAGCAGCCGGCAGTGACGCTGCGCGGCATCCTTATGGCAGTGCCGGCTGCCGTGTGAGATGGGGACGGAGGGGGACGCCCTGCCGAAGCACCGCACAGCCTCTGTCTGGAAATGGGGCACTCAGCTGCTCAGCAGCGCTGGCTGCGGCTTTCCCTGCTCCTGCCATACCCATTCCTCGGAGCTGGCGTTCCAGCTGGTACGTGGGAGCTCGGATGAAATGCAGCCAGGGGGATGGCTTCAGTGCGCTTTCCAGGGCAGGGCGCCTGCCCGCACTGAAGGATGGACCTGTTGGAAACGGCTTCGCAACTGAGGCCGCTGCCGCTCAGCCCCTGCTTGCTCATCTGGGATGCTCTTCCCCGTGTTTCATGTTTCTCCTGTCATCTTAAATATACTAATCCTGTCACAGAGGAAAGTCCTTACTGCTCTGCAGTCTCTTACATGTGTTATTTGCTTTCTTATAAACTCTGTAATATCTGGGCACGTGCCTGCTGATCAATGTTTAAATGCCGTGTTTTCCACATTTTCTGCAATGGGGATTTTTTTTCATTGCCTTCTTTTTAGCATCTTTGGAAAGGAGTTAATTCTCATAAAACAATATGAATACATATTACAGACTAGTTATTTTTGTCTATTTCCCATACACTTATATTTTGGGATTTTTGACAGCAGGCATTTTAAAGATACTTTTGTTTACTAACAAGTTGAATAAGCTAAACAACTAATTGTTTGGGGATTTTGGCTTTTTTTTGTTTGTTTTTTTGTTTGTTTGTTTGTTTTCTTTGGGGTTTTTACTTTTGTTTTGGTTTTTTTTTTTGGGGGGGGTTTTTTTGTTTGTTTTCTGGGGGGAGTTTGTTTTGGTTTGGTTCAGTTTTGGTTTTGTGGGTTTGTTTTTTTTTTTCCATTCTTAATCTTCTTTCTTCTCTGATGGGGAGAATACTCTGCAAATACAGCTATTTCACCAGCTGATGTTATTCAGGATCTTTATCCTTACTCTCTGCTAGATCTACTGTTTTTTGTTCATGTGGGGAATTTTTCATGAAGTTGGTATTTTCAAGTAGAGTTCTGTTTTGATGGGTGGTCCACAGGGCCTGTTTCTTCACTCTCATAATACAGTTTATCCTTAGGGTATGCTGAATGCTCATAGGCAATCACAGTGTGACATACTGCTTGGTGGGGTGCAACCTGTTTGTTCACACTTATCCCTGCATTAAAAAGTTTCACTGCCTTTGTTTAAAGTATGAAGCTGAACATTGTCCTAAAAGAACCTAAGACAGTTACTTGAAATCACTTTTAATGACTAGGGAAGTTTGTTTCTTGACAGTTTGTTTCTGTCCCCACTGCACAGCAATGTAAAAGTGATATTTTGTGATTGTTCTGGATTTTAAATGCATATAGTTTAGATTAAAACAATTTTCAATCACATACAGAGGAATTCAAGTTCTTTCTTGCTTGAATGCCTGTGTTAAGATGCTGTACCTGTTTTGTGACCTGCTGAGTCATTAAAAAATGAGGTGCTGGAGTTAAACCTCTGCCTCCACTGACACATTTAAGTACCCAAAAAAGAAATTTCTCGGTTTACTTTGCCTAGAGTAAATTATGTCAAGCAGGGTCATTTCCAGCTCTTGGTTTTAGAAGGGCTTCTAACACTGTCTCACGTGGCCATCCATGTCACAAACAAGTCCAGAAAATCACAAATGGATGAGTACCAAACTGCTGTAAACTGGACTGAAATATTTAACATGAGCATGTTGTTAACTTGGCTGGACACAGCAAGCAGAATTCTGCGAAAGTACCAGAAATTGTATATTTTCATTAAATAATTTAGATGGCAGAGCAGACAACTTTCTTGCCAGCCCCACTGTCTTGGAGGGGCAGGAAGAGTTAGAGGACAGGGCTAGGATCTCAGCACACTTGGCAAATTACAGTAGAGGAAAGGAAATAATTAAAAGGATGTTTTTTCACACTCTGCAGAACTGCTAACATCACAAATACAGGTTGTGTACTTACTGGTCTGATAGCATCACTGTATAAAGTGTCATGGTGATTAGCATGGATCACAAACCCAACAGGAATCAGCCATGCCACAACAAAAAGGGCAAATGGCACTGGGAGCTACATAAAAAGAAATATTGTTTGCCAGGCAAATGAAGCCATTCTACTGTCATGCTCGGGGCTAGAAGGCCTTCAGTCAGGGTATTGTATTCTGCTTGGGATAGAGAGTTAGAAGTATTATGTGGAAGCATTGGAGGAATTGGAGTAGTTTATCCCAGAGAAAGGGGAGACACAGTAGGAGGGCCCTAAATATGTGTGCTGTATGTCTAAGGGAGGGGACAATCTTCTTCTTCTCATCAGCTGAAAAGGCTCAGTGGGCAACAGAGATCTGGGTTAGATGTAAGAATCCGCTTTCTCAAGGTGTAGATGAAAAATGAGTGAGAGAATAATACAGGGAATGTCAGCCTTGGTTTCTGGGTTTCAAATGCAAATTGAACAAGTGTCTGTCAGAAATTACCGAATGTAATTGATCATGCTTTTTGTGTGGGAGGAAGAAGGCAATTTCAGTCCCTATTTTTCTGATATTCCTCTTTGGAGCCAAAGACCATAATTTATACATCTAAGTTAGATGTCTAAGTTATACACTGTCAAGACCAGCTAACTATCATCCCAGGTTCTTCCTTTCCATTTCTGTTTAACATAAAATAAGGAAAAAAGTCTTAGTGATTAATAATTCAAATCAGAAGCAGCTATAAAATAGGCTGGCACTATGCTATGCAAACTTGATTTGTTCAAATCCACGTTCTCCAAGTCCCAAACTTCTTTAGAGCATATATGGCAGCCCTGCTAATGTCTAACCAGCTGATAATCTGGAGACCTGACTGTTGGTCACCAGGATGATTCAGCCTAGTTAATAAATGCCATATTGGAACACCCATTTAACTCTCCAGCAGAAAGGATGCTGAGTGAAAAGGGTAAAGGGGACCTCACACAAATATTACTCATTCTCTCATTCAGAAAATGCTAAAACTCAGGCTCTGAACAGCCTTTGATATTTGACCTTTGTAGATGGCCTGTAATTAAGACTCTAATCCTTTAAACACTTTAATACACTTCACTTCAAGTTAATAGGATTAGTTACATGCCTGAACTGTGCATGAGTGGGACTGAGCTATTGTTGAGAGCAGTTGATTAAAAACTTGTAGATACTTTCTGGTGGAATATTGTCTTATATTGTCTAAGTCTTTTCTAAACAGATCTAGTCACAAGTAATATCCAAAAGTGAAGGTATTCAAGAAAAATAAAACTTAGCCAAGTTCTTGCTTAAAAATGTACACAGAAAAAGAACAAATTTCTCCAAACTTTTTCAGCAGCACAAATCAGAGGTTTGAGAGGAGAGATGGGAGATCTGAGAAGCGTTGTATTGGTTTTCTGGAAGATATAGCTTTAAATTCTCAGACTTCTACAATTCTTTCAAAGAATCAAACATATCAGAGAGTTACAAAAAAGGGGAAGCATTTTCTATCCTGGTTTGTATTTTATAAAAACATCAGCTTGGCTTAAAGGCACAGTGTTGTTTCTTCTCTTGCTGCTGACAGACCGGCTGGGCTGGGCAGTCCTGGCAAGCCTAGTCTGGATCAGTTCATCACGTTGTAAATGTGTGCAGAGGTTGTGAGGAGTGAAGATAATTTGGGAAGCAAGTGAAGGCACAGGGAGGACAGAGGTGAAGGCACACACAGCACAGAGGTTCCCATTTGTTGCAGGATGTCCACCAGAAGAGGCTGGGCCACATCAAGGCACTTGTGCTGACGTCTAACTTCTGCCAGAGCTGGGTTCAAATGCCACGGGGGCAGCCTGGGAATCCCAGCACAGCTCAGCATCACTTGCTACTGCCCCATGAAATGCTCACAGCACACATCCACCCAATGCTATTATTTCTGCTACTGGAGAAACACGGAGGTAAATCCCCTCTGCTGAGGGATGTGATGTCACACTATTGTCATTTACAGGAAAAGGCAACAGCTGTGGTTAAGGGTTTCCCAAGAGTGACATGCTACAGACCGCAGCTGCAATGCCATTCCCTGGCCTGCTTGTAACTCCTCTTGTAGATGGAGGGAGAGAGTTTTCCTCTACTCATCTTGAGGATCACAGTCAGCAGAATGAAGTCTGCATTTAGCCAAGTGTTTCTGCCAACTCTAACGTGGACCAAAGAGAGCACACACAAAAGTCAAAGAGCAATCATTGCTCTGTCAGTACTGTTGTCATACAGGAACCTGAGTCATACCAAACACCTCTCAAGGAAGGGCACAGTGGAGATACCAGAAATTCAAGCTGGAGCAGGGGAATTCTGATGAAAGCAGCACAGCAGTGATGAGGTATCAGATAAGACTGCCAGAAAATAGCATCACAACTTTATAGACAGTAGCACAGAGGGAAACACAAGGGGACACACAAAAATGGGATGAAAATTGATGAGCCACTAACTGCCTGTGAAGAGAGCCACACTAGGTAGTCTTAAAATTAAGAAAATCATAATAAAAAGAGAGCAGGAACCAGAAGAGGTGATCAGGTCTGAGTCAGAAGTAAAAAGTCAGTAAATGGAGATAAGAATAAAAAAGGGAAAAGAGAGAAGGATTAAGTTCTTACAGGATAAGGGGTTAAATCAGGACTGCCCCAAGAAAAAGCAGTGGTAGGTCAGGAGAAATGTCCACCCTGCACAGACTCATGCCATGCAGACACCAGAGCAAGCATTAAAGGAACAACTTGGATGTCCTTTAGCTCAAGAATTACAAAGGCCCTGCAAATTAACTGAGACAGTGCCTGGCTCAGATAAATTGTCCTGTCCCTCCCATCAGCTAAAGCCTCACTAGGCATCTTTACACCAGGCTGCAATGTGACTTATAGCTATGCCCAGAAGGGAATATCAGATATGACAAAAAAAAAAAAAAAAATGAGGGCACTGGAGAGGCAAAGAGAAACTGGAAAAGGCAGGAACTGGAGGAACTGAGAATGAAGAGTTGTCAAGTACTAGCAGTGTTAAAGAATTTATGCTAAAGAAGGATTAAATGAAGGAAAAAAGCTTCCTTTCAGTGTCCACGTTTCTAGGAGAAGCAGTGTGGAAGTAGAGGAATTTTTGTCAGATGGGTCTCATCTGATAACAGATCCAGGAAACGACCTAGTAACCAATGTAAGGGAAGTCTTCAGTCAGCTGGTGTTCTTGCACAATTTTCTCGTTTGTCAGACTTAGAACAATATTTGAACATACACACACACAGTGAGCGTTTTGTTTGGCCACTCCTGGGAGCCCTGTTTATCCAGCAGTATTCCTGCAGCTGGGAACACACTGCTGAAGCAACTGTGCCACCCCTACAAGCCAAGCACCAACTTTGAAGCCTCGATAAGCCAAGAAAGATTGCTGAGGAAACTTAATCCATATTCCTCCTTTGTTACAGGGTTTCTGCCTAGCTGATGTCCACTCAGGGACCAGCTGGCAGCTGGGAATGCAGGAGGGACGGGGGCAGGTGTCACGGCGTGCTTGGAGCTACTGGCCATTGCCTCCAAAGGGTTTTTCCTTTCAAAACACCTCAATTTTCACTGTCACTGAAAACTGAAGAGTTGCTATTGGAAAAAAAGAAATACAAGTTTTTGATGTTTTATTGACACATCCCCATGCCGAGGTCGGGGGTGGTAATCTCAGAATCATCGAATGGATTGGGTTGGAAGAGATCTTAAAGATCATCTAGGTCATCCAACCATTCCTTGACCACTTTCTGGGATGGGGAACCCACAATTTCTCTGGGCAAGCGGTCCCGGTGCCTCACCACCCTCGCAGTAGAGAATTTCTTCGTGACACCTGATCTAAACCTACTCCCTGTCAGTTCGAAGCCATCACCGCTCGTCCCGTCACTCCGTGCCCTCGCAGCCAGCCCCTCTCTAAGGCGTTTCAGGAGCGCAGCCGGGGTGGGCGGAGGGACAATCCCGGTACCGGCGGCAGCTGCGAGCGGGGGGCGGCGAGAAGCGCCGGGCAGGGCCGGGCGGGGGCTGCCCCCGGGGTCTCATAAGGCCGCCCCCGCCGCCGCTACTCGCCCTGCTGTGCTGCGGGGCTCCCGAGACGCCTCTCGCCGTCCCCTCCCCCGGTCCAGCCCCGTTTCCCGTGGCGAGGCTCCGCCACAGGGGAAGTGACGCCGGCGCCAGGCGAGCTTATATAAAGGGTAGGCGGCAGCGGGCGGAAGCGAGCGGGGCCGGGCGGGCGGGGGGCGGCGGGCAGTGCTAGTGGGGCGGCTGCCGCAGCCCCCCGCGTTCCGGCCTGGCCATGGATTTCCACAACATTCTCGTGATGGCCTCGGAGCAGCAGGGGCTGAACGCCGTGCCGGTGAGCTCGGGGGCGGCGGGCGCTGCCGGGGGGCGCGGTGGCGGTCGGGCCCGGGGAGGCCCCGCGGGAGCCCTGCCCGGGCAGCGCCCGCCGCCGGGGCCGTGCCGGGCCCTTGGCCTCGCCGGCCTGGGCTGCTCCCCGCTGGGGGCCAGAGCCGGCTGTGTGCGGGGAGGGGGCCAGCGGGGCCCTTCTGTCAACAGGTGCCGGCATCCCGGGCTGGGGGCGGGCGGCCGCGGCTTGTCCCCCACCCCGGTCCGGCAGTGCCGACATCCCTCCCGGGAGCAGAGCCGGGCTGCGGGGAAAGGCATGGCTAAAAGCCGGCTAAGTCCTTTTGTTCGCTCTGAAAACGCGAGTGTGCCACGTCTCAAGTGCGAGTCGGAGACAAAGTGACAAGTTTGGGGTGAATGGGCTGGGTTGTGTGAGGTCTCTGTGTACGAAGGAATAAGGCGTAACAGCGCTGTGGGTTGGATTGGCGGAAGGCTTTTGGTATCTTGTTAATATTGCTCTGAGGTCTGTGCTTCAGCAGTTTGTGTTTTAGTTCAAGTATCGGTAACGTGGATGCCGTGTGCAATAACCACTGACTCGCCTGGATGAAGTCTGGCAGGAGGAAGGGCACGTGGCCTTTTCATACATTCATATCCTGGGTTTCGTTCCTCTGGGAGGACCCGAATTATAATTCATGCGTGAATATAAAAAATATTTTCTCCTTAGTAGCCACTAGACTGGGAGGCACTGTTTGCTCTTCAACAGAATTGCCAGAGTTCTGTTTCTATGATTAGTTTGCTTAACCCCAGTGTAAAAGAGGGGTAGTTGTTTTTAGCAAAAACTGTGGAAAAACCGGAAAAAAAGCCGTAATCTCAATTGTACACTGTCTTCATTTGGGTGGTGTCGGAGCTAGTGAATATCTGTGTCTCTGTGTCATTAGTAAAACTTTGGCAATGGTCACTAATAGCATGATCAGTTGATAATATGGGCCGACCATATGCTAGATGTGAAATGAATCAGATTCCGTTGTGGGTTTAAAATCTTACAAAATCAACTTTTTTGTATTTAGGGACATTTAATTTCTCTCTGACCCTACACAGAAATCTGGTTCATAACATAAGTAATAAAATAACAAATACAGAAATACTTTATGATATTTAATAGTTTGATTTGTCTTAAGCTGTTTCGCGCAGTTGTCACTGGGTTATTATTATTATTTTAGATGTTTAAAACTTCTCTTTATGTTCTCAGTTTCCCCATGCAGCTTTACTGTGTGTGCCATTACTTTTTTTGTCACAAGTTTTAATCCATGCTGATGAATTGATAAAATATCTGCCATAATCTCCATTGTGGATGTGATGGTGGAGGGAGGGGATCCTACTTCTTGTGCAATGAATGAGGGTTTAGCTACTCTTTTTAGTAAAGGCAGCATTAGGATTTGCTAATTCCTGATTAACTCATGGAGTGAGAGTGCAATTGGATCCATAGTTGAAACAGTTTGGTTTAGCACATTAGTAGTGCAGCTTTTTACTCTAAAGTTGGCCCCAGTCTCTGAGCAAAAGCAGAGCTGCACTTGGCACTGCTTGAAGCTATTTGCAGCTGCTGGGCTTTAAAAGGGAGCCCATGGAGATTTTACAATCACTGGACATCTAAACAACTCCACTGTGTTAAACCTAGTATATTAAATGTGTTTATATAAGAAGAATATAATTATTTTTAAATACTTTTATTAAAAACACTGTATAGACTAATTACACATTTACTGGTATATAAAATAACCAGATTCCAGAAATGTTAGTTCCTGCATTAACAAGGATATCCTCTGAATTTCTGAGAAGTTTGTTTTAAACTTTACCAAGCACCTAACTAAATCTTCTATGCCTTTTGTAATGAAAAACAGTGACAGGAACAAGTAGTGTATATTTAAAGTACATATAAATATATGTACACACACACTATAACAGGTGGTGTTTGGTTCAAAGTGGAAACTACAAAAAAACTCAAAGAAATAATGTGGCCTTGTATTGTAAAAGAGGGGCCTGGATAAAGCAGATATTACATCATGTCCCTGATAAAACAAATCTGCTTGTTCATCTCCCTATGGAAATCCAGATTCAAAAGGAACATTGCTGAAATCAGCCTTTTGGTACCCTGTTAGTTGCATGAGGTTTTGTTTCTAAATAAAGCAGTACATATATGAATCTATCTTACTATCTAAGCTATTAATGATGTGCTGCTAATCATCTTCACAGCAGTTGCTGAGTAGAGCCCTGGGTTTTATCCTCTAATATTCCATAGGGGTTTCATTGCTGTATTTTGTTACCTGTGTTCATATTAGCACTTCATTAGATTTTCAGTGTGGTCTTGCTTTGACTAGACATGATAGCAGTTATGAGATTTAATGTTGACTTTAGAGAGATTTAAATAGATTGTGTCACTCTTTTTGGTGAAATCGGTATAGTGTGTTATGCCACGTGTTTCACATGATGTGACAAAGCACATTCAGATATTTTTATTGTAGCTATTCTTTAAAATATGAAATTTTATTGCAGCTTTAAAAAAAAAAAAAACCTTGAGGCAGTTGGAACCAAGTAATTCTTTTATTTCACCTTAATGTCTAATAAACTACTAATGGCAGTATAAGCATCTCATATCGCTCCCGATTATTTTTAACTGAGGGCGAAACTTTGGTGTACAGAATTTACAGAAATCTGGTACAATTTAGCCACCAAGAGGTGATGCAAAACTGAAAGAGCTTGTGAGCCACGTCAGCACTTGTGAGGTCTCGCCGTAAGCTGGACTGATACAAAGCAGCCTCCAGTGAAGCTGACAGATACAAGTAGCCCAGGAGGAATTCAGTATTTGTGGAGTGAAACACTAACAGAATCCCAGTTTGTTCAGAGGACCTTGAGTTACAGAGCCTGCCCATCGAATTCTAATCTACAAATTATCGAGCGTTTGCCCGCAGGCAAGAGAAGCCCAGCATGAGAAATAATGGGAATGGCTGTGAAGTGCAGATTGCTGCTATAGGACCAGACTCCCATCGATTGATTTCTGTGCATTTATTGTGTGCTTAAAACTGGCCTCAAAACGGGGCTAAAATTATTTGGATTACATCAATCTCCACAGGAGGGAATTGCAAGATACACAATGTGAAATGTTGGCAGGGGTGAGGAGGGCTTTTGCTCTCAGCTTGACTGACCTGATAGTAAAGTTTGAGACTGTCGAGGTTTAAATGCTGGCTAGTAACGTTTTCTTTCTTTTTTTTTTTTTTTTTTTTTTTTTTTTTTTTTTTTTTTTTTTTTGCAAAAGCAGATGAAAATGGGGACCACAATGCCACTATAGAAAGGAAAGCATAAATTCCAGCTAAGGGTTCTGCTTGGGGCTTGTAGCAGCAGTTGCAAAACTGGAAGAAAATAATTTTTGCTTTTGAATTTGTTTTGGGAGAGGAGAACAGTGTGAGCTGATAAGCTGAGCGTTTTATCTTTCTCTTGGTAGAAGCTGTTAGAACCTGAAGTGAAGCAAATTTAAACATGCTTGTTACCTATTTACTTTGTCACAACCAGAAATTGAAAGCAGCAGTTGCGAAATCACCGTGTGTGTATTCTAAGACAGTCTCACTGCGGAGTCAGCTGCTGGAACTCCTTGGTGAATCTGCAGCAGAAGCTTTGGAAATACCAGTTCAGGATGAAGGGCAGAGGCCCCTGGGCAGTGAACACAAATGGCCACTTACTATATGGAAAGGTGCATTTTGAGGGACTGGCATTGTGAGAGGAGTGGCACAAACAAGGATGTATGTGGTGGATGAACCATTCCTGATGTTCTCAGAAAATTATACCCTTGTCTTGGTTTAAAAAGACAGGTGTCTGCTAGGGAAGGCAGGAGCCTTTCTTGAAATAGAAAATGTAACCCCCCACCTCTCTCTGAATTATTATAATTTTGAAATTAAGGAGTTCTTAGGCAATGCTATGGGAATAGGAATAACAATTATTTACTAGGAAAATTAAAATAAAAATGCAGTAATACATAAAAACACTGACAGAGTCAGAATACAACTTGACACCCTGTTGGTCAGGATGTTGGTAGCAGTCTGATTTAATGGTGGCTACAATCCTGCAGTGATAGATGTGGTTGTGTTGAAGAAATGATCCTACAGAAGGGTGTAGTTTTTCTCTGAAGGTCCAGCGGTTGTGTAGATGGGCCTGGTCTTCCTTTGGGAATTTAGTGGAAAAAGGCTCCCCTGGTATTCCAAATATCAGATTTTTATCTAGGTGGGGATGCTTGGTTCCTCTCCCTGGGCTGAACACATCACAGTGGGATGATGTAATTTTATCAGCCATGCAGTGAGACTCAGTAGCCCATTTACACCAGATATCTCCCAGACAGAGGATGGGTCTTGGAAGAGATAAACAAAACTGTCCCATTTGGCTTTAACAGGTGGCCCATTAACAGAGGATACCCTCCCACCCCGAGTAACAAGGGATGGTTCATGGAAGAGATAAAGACCACTGCCCCACCTGGTTTCAACAGATGGTGATAGAATAAGTACTTCTGGTTTCATCTTGCATTGCAACTTTAGACAACCTGAAGAATATTTGGGGGGGAACAGGTTCTTCCCATTGGAGAAGGTTACATGTCCTGGCAAATAAGGAAGAAATTATCTGTGAGAACAGGCACAGTGATGTAACATGCTAGTGAAAAACAAGCAAATAAAAGAATCTCCCCAGCCTGTGAGAGCCCCTGCAAGTTGCCTGCAGTGGCTAACACAATTGGAATGGTCTTGGCACTGCATGTGCAAGCCCATTGCAGTAACTGAGCTGCACAGGTGCTCTACTTGAGAATTGGGCTTGGCAGAATTGATTACTTGCATTGATCTTGCATTGGCACCTGTGTAAATATTGACCATTGTTAAAGACAATACTACTATTACTGCTGCTTCTGGCTGGCACTGGTGCTTGGTGTAGGCCCCTTGGGGCTTTATTTGGGTGCCAAAAAGTCTGCTATTATTTTATAAATTCTGTTTTATAGCCCAAGATCTGGTACTTGAGTGCTGACATGAAAGTAGCTACAACTCTATAAGAATCATGTACCACATTTTGAAGGAAGTCAGTGACTTCAGAGCAAATAGTCATTGTTTACAGCTCAAGTGCAGTGTTCTGGGAACAGCATGACCTGCTCTTTCCTAAAGGCTGTACATTTCTATTCCTCCGTTGATTTAACCAACTTAGCAATAGTTATTAAAAGCCAGAATATTGCAGCTGCTGTTTGATTGGTATAGTGACATGTGCTGGCTTATTTTGCCTGCTTTACCTGCAGTCTGATTCATATTCATTTGCACTGCATATTAAACACTTTATTAGTGTTTGTAGAATGAGTGTATGGTTCAGTGCTTTTAGAAAGGCTACAGTTCAAGCAGGTTATTTTATGCTGTTACTGAATGAAGATGAACAAGAGTTGTATCAGCAATAGTACAAAAAAAGGATATTAATTTATTAAATGTTTTGCTGTGTTTTCAGTTGTTAGTCAGTATTAAGAAATGCTACTGATTGGAAATTTTAATTTAAATTTTGCATGATTTGTCATGTTAGCAGCAGTCAGAAACAAGCTTGTCTGTCCAGCTGCTTTACAAACCTGCTCCTGGATAGGGCTGTTGGTCACAGTGCAGCAAAACAAAGCCTGAAAACTGCTTCGCCATCACTTTAATTCTTTATAAGGTTTCCCTACAGAATAGATCAATCTACATTTGTCCCTGCTGTTTAGCAGTTTTCAAAGGTGCTCCTTAGGCACAAAGTCATTTAGGCTAGAAAAGAAGCTTGAGTTCTACACAGTTTTTAAAACAGTTTAGAAAACTGAGGGTACAGTTGAAATGGAATAATTAAATGAAGCTTTGCCAGATTAGATTACTAATGGTAAAACATGACATGTTTAACTTTATAAAATCATTTACAGAGACATCATTATACTAAGATGAGTATACTACAAAGTAGTGCAAATAATTTCTAAGGTACTAATTTGCTTCAAGCTGTTTCTGACAGGATTTTGACTGATAATGTGTGGCTTGCTTTGCCTCTCTGTCTGTTCCAGTTCAAATGGAATAAACCAGATTTCTTTGGGACACAGAGCCATGGGCCACATTTGAGCAAAAGCTGAGAGGCACTGCTGCATGGCAATTCAGGTTTCCTGTACAGTCAAGTCCTGGAACACATTTGGTGCAAACAAGAATATCAGTTCTCAGGTTGTGGTAAACTTCCTTGCAGAGAGGTGAAGCTCAGTAAATGAGTTTGCCTGGAACAGGTCTTTAATGTGATGAGGTGACATGGCAGGTTTTAATATGCAATGTATGTGGATAGTGCACCTTAGTAGTTGTGCTCTGGTCATTTCAGAAACTGCTCAAGGAGACAACAGGTGGCTGGTATTGTAGCTGCCCTTCTTGGAGCAGTTTTGGATGCAGCTTAGAAATGAGCCTCCAAACCTTGCTTCTTAGTGCATGTATATTCAAGCTAATTTATGGGTTTGCATGTTAGTGATCAAAATAATCCAAGGAACTGTTCATTTGCTGCTGATCAATTAATCAGAAATGCGAATGAAGGCATCCATTGTGATCTTGATGTTTATAGGGACTTATGCTGCCAGCCTGCCTGATTATTGCTTCTAAGACATTTGGATTGAAGTTTCTTTACCAGATATTTTATTTTGATTATTTTAGTTAAGTTTCATAAGGCTTTATGAGGACAGAAAGACATTTATAGAAATGCTGACTTGTATGGCTCTTTAGTGATGCTTTTTTTTATTTTGGTCTTTTTTTCACATCTCTTTCATTTGGTGAGAATCTTCATGTCTCGTGTGGGAGATCTTGGTTTAGATTTTAATCTATTGTCTTAGTTCTGAAATAAACAAAAACCCTCACCCTCTCAAACCTCAATTTTGGGTTGGGGTTTCTTTTATTTCTAAATGTATTCTGCTTTCCTTCTGCTTCTGTGTTTAACTGCCTTCTCTTGAGTATTCCTTTGCAACTGTCTCTCTCATTGGTTTGTTTTTTATTCTGTATTTTGTTTGTGGGAAGAAGTTTAAAAAATTTGGTTTTTTCCCATTTCAGGCACAACCTGGTATATTTGTGATAGGCAATGCCTGAACAGTAGTGCAAGTGACTGTTACAGAACCCAGTAAGAGGCACTTGGGCACTTAACACTGATTTAAGTAACATTTATTGGCTATAAGAGAAGCAAAAAAGGGGGTAGCATAGAAAACTTTGCATCTGTTCAGTTGCTGGAATCCCAGGTTGAACAGCACTGGACAGACTTTTAAGCATGGCGAGCTTGGAAAATTCTGTCTATGGCACATGTAATTAGTGTTGTAGTCTGCAGAGCTTTTGCAGAGTGTCCTGGGAAGTTAATAGCACGTTTTATCATTTCTTCTGCCAAGGAAAAGGATGTTATATGAAAACATGCAGCTTCACCTCAGGATGTAATGAGATGTAGAATCACAGACTAGGAGCAATTAAAGGTGATCTAGTCCAACTCCCCTGCAGTGGGCAGGGACATCTTTAAACAGGTCAGGTCACCCAGAGCCCTGTCCTACCTGACCTTGAACGTTTCCAGGGATGGGGAGTCTACAGCCTCCCCTGGCAATCTGAGCCAGTGTTTCACTGTCCCCCTCAAACAACTTCTACTCAGAATCTACCCTCTTTTAGTTTAAAACCAATGCCCCCTGTCCTATTGCTACTGTCTCTGCTAAAAACTGTTCCCATCTTTCTTATAAGCTCCCTTTCAATACTGAAAGGCTGCAACAAGATCTCCCTGAAGCCTTTTCTTCTCCTGGCAAATTATACCATGTTCAAGTGCTGTAATTGCCAGGTACCAGGTGGGGGCTGTGTATTCTGTCAGTTAGTGCTGAGGTCACACTGATCTCAGGTGATAAGTAGTTTCAGGTCAGCTGGTGTGTGGGTCACTAACTCTTTGATGTACAATAATATTGTGTTTAAGGTCACTGCGGCAGGAACTAAAATCAATGTTGTTGGTTTTACATCAGTCTATTAATTATGCTGGTGAAGTTCATTCCAACTTTTGGAGTAATTCAATTTTTTGAGTTGATTTATGTATATTTTCACCGAATTAGGTAACCTGAAACTGAAATGAGTGTCTACTAGCAAGCTGAAAACGGAGCTGTAAACCTGCAGTCTGAAATTGAATTTACTCTGGCAGCTTGGGCTGTAGTTTGCTTTGATTCCCCTTGGTCAAAGACTAAGGCTGAACTTAAATACTTTTATTCCATTACCAATGCAGACACTGCATTCCTTCTTAGTCCGGTGCATTTCACTCTTTTTGTTTCCCTACATGTCTCCTCGTTTCCTTTTCATTCCTTCCAAAAGCTGAGTGAGTCCTGTTGTGGATATATTCATGTGACTGTATCTCTCTCAAAAGACAGGCAGCAATGTGTTTTGAGATAAAACGATGATTTGACAATTCACTGGAATTTAACCAAGTTCAACAGGGGTTTGACAAAGTTTAGTAAGTTTATTGCAAGGTTCATCTTATTAATTAATAGAAGAAACATACAAAAAAGAAGACTGAGTTTAAATTCATTCATTTATGAGCTCATTTAGAGTAATTCTCAGGGACTGGCAATGCAGAGAGCAAGAAGCACAGTCCTGTTGAGACACAAGCTTCTAAGTGGACTTCTTGCTTTCTAAACTCAGTTTGGAGTGGCTGAATCCATTCGTAGTCTCAGGCTTGGACAATGGTATATATCTAATGGAATTATCCATACAGTGTTTGTAATAATGTGGGGTGGGTGATTAGTAATGTTTCATAATACTAATGCAACATCCTCTGTCACCTACTGAGGATCTGTAGTGAGTAAGGGATCTTTCCACCTTGGGTGAGGAAGGATCTCCTAATTCCAGGTGAGGAATTTCTAACCCTGAGAGGCATCACAGCTCAAAGGGTCACCTGGCACCCAGTTAAGCTGCAGATCAGGCAGAGCTCAAATCACGCTCATCCTGATGACAATATTTATAGGGTGAAGTAGTTGTCTGCTGGCCAATGGTATAGACAAGACAGATGTATTTGTCTTAGTGCTATCTTGTTCGTGGCTTTGGTTATCTTATTCTTCTGATGGTTACAAAACCACCTTTCAAAAAATTTTTCAAGATATCTCTACTCCTTTGGACCAGGCACTTTCTAGCTTGCAAGTCTCTTCCAAGGACTTGGGGCTGGTTGTTCAGTCTGAAAGTACAACTGTGAGTCAAATGTATCCAGCACAACACTGTTTCAGTGGGAATTCATTGTTTACTCTGTACCGTCTCTGTGCTGAAGTCAAGTACAGGACTGTTGTGCAACTCCTCAGTTTAAGACTGATGTTTATTTTTAACTTTCTTAACTCTTCTGACATAATTCTTTGTTCTTTGCAGAAAAGGTACAGTTTGGCTGTTGGTCCTCCCAAAAAAGTTCCCAAAGTCAAGGGTGTAGAGTCTGCAGCAGTGCAAGCATTTCTCAGACGACAAGAAGAGGAAAAGAGAAAAAAAGGTAAAAGTACAAAATATCTCATATGGGAGACTTGCATTTATTCTTTGCTATTGGTCACCTTATTAAAATTTCTTGCAAATACAGCTGCTCCTCTGTTTCTGGAATTTATGCATAGACCTGATGCTGAGGGAAAGCTAGGACTAAGTGAGGGCTGGGGACATTTGCTTGCTTTTCTAAGGGGTTAAAACATTATTCAGCTACATCAGGATTTATGGCTGGAGATTGAGAAAGCAGTTAAGGTGAAGAGCAAAAAACTATCGCAACTTTCGTTAGCTTAACTTTGAAAAATGGAAAGGGTTGCCAATGTTCTGTCTTAATCTAATGTATCAATACAATAAGTTTTAAAGAGTCTGAGATATGGTTTCTCTACTTTTATACTCCCTTTAAATAGTCTATGGAATAAGTTAGTACTGCATTGTTTCTGATGTTACGATTAAACCATAATCATATCCAATTACCAAACAATCATCACATATGACAATCATTTCATTTATCATAGTCATTAAATGATTATACCAGTGCAGTTTTGCATGCTCCAGTAAAGCCCAACATTTTCTTGGGGCCTACCCTAACATCTTCCCACGGCCTACCAGGCCCAACCTTTCTTTCCAACTCCCCTGAATATCCCATGATTTTAGAAACGTTTTGTCCCTATACTATCACTGATGTTAATGTTTTATTAAAGGTAACCAAATCTGATGGGCTGGATGGCCCAGGTTATTCCTCCTCTCCTGGACCAGTCATGAGTCTGTTCCTTAACCCTGCTGACAGATCCAACCAGAAGCAAGACTAAGCATTAATTCCACATGGAGTATGCTGGCACACACTGTGCTGTCACAGCCCTTGACAATAGAATAACACAGATGAGGAATGGTACCTTCATAGGCATCCACAGCATGAGTGACCCAATACATTTTCTAGGAATTTTTACATTTTCTGAATCTTTTTGGTATTTAGCTCCTATTCCTTGGTCTGTCCAGTATTTGGTATTTAGATGTCTCATTCACTAGCTAGTTCATCCTGACTCTTGTCAGCAGGTCACAGACAAAAGATAGAGAGCATACTTATGCAGAAAACAGCTAAACCAGAACAGTAAGGATATAGGGCAGACTGTGGAGATAGAGCCCTGTGCCCTATCAGACTTGTGTAATGACCAGCTGGTTGTTTATCTGTGTTCAGCTGCTTCTGTGTCTCCTCCATATCCCTCTACACACACACACTTAGGCTATTTCTTACTCCCTCCCCTTCCTCAACTTCCCTTAAACATTTGATAGTAAGTTCTGTATAGTGTCTCAAGATTCTCTTGCTCAGTCGCAGAGATCCCATACTTTCTGTACCTTTTTATACAAAGGTTCTCCACAATTTTCATGCATCCTGGAAAGCTGCTTCCCTCAGAAAGCCTTAATGCGTTTTGTTAGAGCAGCATTTTACTCAATTGCCTGCCTTTGTTGGAGCAGCCGCCACAGGAGGGTCAGCCTGTCCTGTTGGCAGACCTGGGATCACTTTCTTGTCTATTTTGGATCGCTATTAGCCAGATGCCCTTAAGTTACTGTCCTAAGTGATTTGTTAGTTTGGGAAATATCGAAATAAAAAGTAGTGCTTTTTGCGTATCTTCTGATTTTCTTGCAGCACTGGAAGAAAGAAGGAAGAAAGAGCAGCTCTTGGCAAGGCGTATTGAACTGAAACATGACAGAAAGGCAAGAGCTATGGCCTCACGAACAAAGGATAATTTTTATGGCTATAATGGTGTTCCTGTTGAAGAGAAGCCTAAAAAGAGGAGGGCTTGTGAGAATGTTGCTCAGGCCCCAGAGGCTGAGTATGCAACAGAAGATGAAACTGAGCAACTCGAATACAGTCAGACGGAATCTGAGCACGAGCAAGAAGAATATGAAGAGAAACCATCCAAAGCTGCAGTGAAACCAAAGCCACCTCCCAAAAGTGCACCAGCACCTCTGAACTTTGCAGAGCTCTTGAGGCTTGCTGAAAAGAAACAATATGAACCAGTGGAAATAAAACGAGTGAAAAAGGTAGAAGAGAGGCCCAGAACAGCAGAAGAATTGAGAGAGAGGGAGTTTTTGGGACGCAAAAACAAAAAAGCAGAAATGCATAAGAAAAATGAGAAGGAGATTAAGCCTACAGGGATATCCAGTTCTTCAAAAAAACTATCTTCTCAAAAAGCATCTGTAAACACAAAACTTAACAAAAGCTCAGTAGATAAGCATTCCACATCTAAAAGCAGTCTGTCACTTTCTATGGGTGGTATTGATAAGAAATCCAAAGCACCAGCATTGACTGAAAAACACCCACGGTCATCATCTTCTTCCAGACTTGATCAAATGGAAAAAAACTCACAAAATGGTTCCTTAAAAAGCTCTACTACTAGTAGTCATAATAAATTACCTGTCAATGGTATTAGAAAGTCTGGCTCAAACTCTCACGTGCCACCCTCAAAACCCATGGCCAATGGGGCTCAGAAAATGTCATCTGCGAAAGAATCCAGCCTGAAAAAGTCTGCCCACGCAAAACCAGGAAAACCTGCAGCTCTTCAACATGGAATCAACTCCAACACAAAAGGATCTGGCAGCAGCTTAGGAAAAGGAGGACCTGGACATCCTGGTGGTGGTTCAAGTGCAGGACCGGGGCGATCAAGCAGCAATTCTGGCGTGGGACTGGGAAGGCCGGGAAGCGGTTTAAGCTCAGGACCTGGGCGACTGGGCAGCAGCTCAGCTGCAGGACCTGGGAGGCCCAGCAGCAACTCAAGCACAGGGCCTGGGAGACTGGGAGGTGGCTCAGGTGTGGGACCGGGAAGGCCAACGGGCAGTTCGAGCACAGGGCCTGGGCGACCGGGCAGCAGCTCAGGCGTGGGACTTAAGCGACCGGGCGGCAGCTTGGGCACTGGACCGGGAAGGCCAGGCAGCAGCACAAACATGGGACCAGGGAGACCAGGCAGCAGCCTGGGAACAGGACCAGGAAGGCCAGGAATCAGTCCAAGCACAGGAGCCAAGCGACCAGGTGGCAGCTTGGGCACTGGCCCAGGGAGGCCGGGCATCAGCACAAGCGCAGGATCTGTGCGACCAAGCAGCGGCCCGGGCACAGCTGTGAAACCCAGGTGTACTGTCGTGTCAGAAACCATTTCTTCTAAAAACCTTGTCACAAGACCTAGCAATGGACAGATGAATGGAATGAGACCTTTTCCAGGGCATAGACCTGTGCTTCATCCACAAGGTATGCGTTTATAGAAAAAAGCATTTCTTTGCTGTTGTGGTTTATCTGGCAACTAAGTACCATGCAGCTGCTCGTATGCCCTGTCCCCCAGTGGAGAGAAGAATTGGAAAAAACCAAGTGAAACTCAGATAAGAGTAGTTTAATAATTGAAACAATATTAAATATAGCAGCTTTTCATTTATTTTATTTATTTTTACCTATGCTCATAATTTTTGAAATACAGAAGTGAAGGTGTGAAATACAGGTGTGAAGTATCACATGAAAAAAAACTAATAGCCTGTGATGGATATTGGTATACAAATGCTGTTAGAAGGAAAAGAGTTCAAGGATTTGCTTCCAGCACTGCTTAATAATTGGTCTATAAAACTTTGTAGTGTCTTAAATAACAGATGCTTGAAAGACTAGATGAAAAATCACTCGCAGGTTTTGCATTTCAGTGTTTTGGCAGATTTATCTTATCATTGACAAGCCATTCTAAAAATTTATTTTGGATCAGGAGCAAGCAGTGTAGAGTGAATAGTGAATAAGTGCCTGGAAAGCCCTGAGCAAAGAATAGATATCTGCTAAGTGGTTTCCTCAGGATGCCATTGCAGATCCTGATAGGTAATCTCCTCTAGCACAACTCAGGAAGTATTTCCTCTTGCTGAATTTCTGAGTAATGCTAGTTAACTTGAGACATAAGCTTTTCTACCCTGAAGCCCAGAAAATGGCTGTGCCCAAGGTATGACAAGGAGAAGTACTGTTAAATTAAAATTATGTTCATGTTATTAGTTAATGATTTTATTCTCGCCTCTCATTTAGGTCTTGGAAGACCACCTATTAGTTACAAGAGACAAATAGAAGATGATGATGATGATGATGAATATGACTCTGAAATGGATGATTTCATTGAAGATGAAGGGGAACCTCAAGAAGAAATATCAAAACATATTCGGGAAATATTTGGCTATGACCGGAAAAGGTAAGAGAGGTAACAACTTCAAAATATTGCAGAACAAGCAGCAGAACAGTTATTCTTCCTAAGAAGGGATATTAATTCATTGCTTATTTTTTTATGTTCTAAAAACTGATATTTAATTTTTAGGTACAAAGATGAAAGTGATTATGCCTTACGTTATATGGAGAGCAGCTGGAGAGAGCAACAGAAAGAAGAAGCTAGGAGGTATGCATGGATTTGAACTTGGGTACAAATTGCAAAGTTTGTTTGCTGAAGACATAGGGCTAAGCTAGCAAATATCCACTCTGCTTTTAACAACCTTACCATTTTTTATAAGAAAGCTTAAGTAAAAGATGGAATTCATACAGCCAGTGCAGCCAGTGGTGGGTACACTAAATAAGTCGTGTATGTCCTTATCTATCACAAACCTTGCTTGTCAGGAACTAATAAAAACCAAAACTAATTAATTTCAAAAAATATTTTAAAAATTATACATTTCATTTGAAATTCCAAATACTTTAATTGGTCCCAAGCATTACAATATTCTGCTAGTTTGAGGTCTGGAAATTCTATTTGTTTTTATCTCTGCAGGTGTGTGTGTCTATTTCTATAGAAGTATAAAAAGTATGCTGACAAGCTTGTATAGTCACTGGTTTAAATTATGAGGATGATATTTTCATGCTGGTTTTGGCCTTTGGGCCTGCAGAATTCTTATGAGATAAGCCGATTCTTTGTTTTTAAATGAGTGATGGTTCAAGCTTTTTGAAAGCTATAAGGGCTTATGATAGAAAATGCAAATATTGGAATACATGGAGTCACCAAATTCTTTGGTTCTATATAGTTATTCAGAAGGTGCCTTGAACATTAGAAGTTTGCATCTTTGAAGTTACAGTCAGTGTCCTTTTACCTCTTGGCACCTGAAGAATATCTGCACCCCATGGAAAGCTATAGTCTGTTAAGCGGATTTAGGAGAAATAAATGGAATTTTAAAGTGATGTTGCTGTTAACCAAACTCTGTTGACATCTTAGAGTGAGATTTTGCAGAGTTGAATTCCTGACTCACTTTTAACTACGCATGTTCCATAAAGGAAGTGGAGATGAGAAACTTGAGTTAAATGCAATTTTACTTTTTCAATGGATGTGTTTCAGTAGCTGCTTTTTGGGAGGAAAAAAAGACATTATGTATTAAATTTATTAATTTTTTTAATACAATCTTTATGTTTTGACAGAAGTTTTAAATATATTTTTCCATTGAAGTACCTGATTCTGATCTTATGATTAAAAAAAGAAATCTTGATTTCTTAAAGCTGCATTCACTCTATAATTAAAGAAGTGCTGATATGAAATTTTTCTTCAAATCAGCTGTAGTACTTTTAGCATTGCTTTTAGGGCATGTAGAAGTAAAACCTCAAGTGTCCTGAGTAAAGGATTTAATCTTGTTTGGCAGCTTGAGACTCGGTGTTCAGGAAGACTTGGAAGAGCTGAGACGGGAAGAAGAAGAACTGAAACGCAAGAGACAGTCCAAGAAGCTGAGGACACGTTAACTGACTTACGGTGTTGACTTTGTTCATGTTTCTGCTCCCCTCTGCCTCCATACATCTCTTATTCTACTTCAGTTTCCATTTGCTTGTTAGAGGGCAAAAGAATATTTAAAGGGATTAAAGTACTGAAAAGCAAGGCTTTAGCTTGACCTAAATAAGATATTTATTTTTAATACTTGCCAGGGTTGTTTTTTATGAAGAAATTAATGCACTAATGCATATTAAATGGAATAAAATTAATAGATGTTTCCATTGATTAAACCAGTTCAAAATGCCAGCAGAAATATTGACTAGCTATGCACTGACTTGGAATTGTCTGCCACGTACCAGTAAACCAATTTCGCATTCACTTGAAATAAAGGAATAGCATTCTTGTTCCCTGATATTTCTTGAGACTTGGAGAGATTGCTCTATATCCTGCCCTGTCTCCCAGCCTGAGCCTCAAAGTGTTAAAATGTTATCTTCTGTACAGCAGTAGCTTGGGCGTAAATTCAGCCACAGCCCACCAGTGTTTAAGGCAATAAAAGTGCTGCAGATCTTTAGATTTGAGGACCCATAAAAATAATTTGAACCTCTTTATTCTAAACAGAAAAGTGCATGTCATTTGCAAACTGTGCAGTGATGGATATGGCCAAAAGATTATCTTGGCTTTTGCTGTGTCTGGAATTCCAGTGCCAGTCTAATTCAGTATGAGAAACACACACCCTGAAAACAGAAATGTCTAGTGTTTGTATGTAACCTGTGCTTTTGGGCTCAAGCATATGCTTGGGAATTCTTCTCCTGCCCTGTAAATCTTCAGATTTGTTTAACAGCTTCTGCTGCTTTACAAACTGTGTTTTTTCTTGCATTAAACATCCGATGGCTAAATTATTTAAAATGTGAAGCGGTCATTTATCTAATTAGTTTTACTATTCAGAAAGAATATCAGAATTAAGTTCTGTTAGAATGCATTTGCAGCTTTTCAGTAGTAACATCATTTTAACTAATTAATACTTGTGATTGATTTCAGCAAGCCAAAAACCTAAAATAGGTATAGCAGGAGAGTTAGTTCAGTTACTTACCTTAATGCCCATATTTGCACATTATTTCTAACTATGCATTTAAAGACTGTTTGTTTCAGTAACTGAATTTGTTTACAATTAGCACAGGGTTCATATAAGTCGACAAGAGTTGCACTGAGACCTGAAGCTCAAATCTGGTGTTGCATCTACTTGGATTTCCCCAAGTTGCCCTTCAAAGCTCACCAGTGTCACTACTCAGCTTTGCCTCAAGCTCCAGGACTCCATTGGTAGCATCTGCCTTCAGCTGCTTCAGGCCACTATGTTTTAAAGCTAAAAATAGGTTAAAAAGTAGAAAAAGGGCTTTGGGTGTTGGTTGGGGCTATGCTTAACAGTGCTGCTTCTAGGAAGCAGTTCAGATAGCAACCTGTAAGGAACAGTCTTGAAAACTGCTGAAGTTTAAACATCTGATTCTTAATGTAAGAAAAAACAGCTTTGCCTTTTTAAGATGTTTTCTGTCAATGGTGTACCATTTCACTGCCTCAGGAAAACACTAATGTAAGTTCCTGGTATAGATTCTCTATCTCAGTATTGGCCAACATGGAGCCCAGGTGAGGATACCGCTGTTACTTGTCTGTAGTTTTAACTTCCTCTGTTAACTAATGAAAACTGTTTCTCAGCATATGCACTTGAGACCATGCAAGATAGGGTAAACTGAGTGTCTAGAAGTGTGTTGTATTCTCTGCTGCATTGGGACCATCTCAAGTTTCCTGTTGGAGATTTCCTGGTTTCTAGAATTACCCATTCAGGACAATGGACTTTGGGACCATAATCAAGTTCTGGGTTTGTACTTTTATTCTTTTTAGCTGGAGAAAGACTTGAGGTCCATCAACCCAGACAGCTGTATCACCTGTGAGCAACTTCATGCCTGGTTGGGGAGAAAAGTGTCTCTTATGAAGCAAAAGGAATACATTAAGTTGAAATTGGTTCATTTGGGAGAGAAATCTGCATTTCAGACAAATACAGGTTAAGTAAAACCTGATTATTTCACCACTTTCTCATTATTTAACCATGCAAGAGCAGTTAAACTTCTTAATCTGTAAAGCACTTTGTCATTTAGATGGTGACTGGAATGTACTCTGCTAGCCTCCCTAAGACACTGTAGAACTTTCTTCACACAGTGATCATTGCTTAAGTTTTGTCTATTTCATATGAAAAGTCATTCAAGGACACATTTGTAATTTTACAGTCAAGAAGTACTTTCTCATAATTGGCATGGGATGCTGATGGGTTTCCTATTTTGTACAAATGTTTGGCTTTTAATGTGCTTGCATATTTGTATGTCAGCTAGGAAGGAACTAAAGTAGTTTTTTAATTCCTGACCTTGTATCCAGAAACCTGTTTACTGTTTGCCAGGTTAATAGTATTCATCTAATGACAGTATTTCAGTACTTCCAAAGTGCATCTGAATTTGAGGTGAAGAAAAACTGGAAGAATGCTTACATTGGTTTATCAGGATTGGATGTTAGCTAATGATTTAATTGTATTTAAGGAAATTCTGGTTTGGTTTTTAGATTTTTAATTCACTGTTTGACAATGTGCCTTTTTCCTAAATTGTGTCAAAACATAATGAATGTAGGAGGATAAAAAGGTCAGTTTCTGCTATCTCAGATTCTATATCCTTAAACTTGAGAGTGTGAAATGACGTACTCTCATAAAACCCTTCCAGGTCTGGCTTTGATTGCACAATTAAGGTAGCTACTTCTTTACTGCTAATGCTAAATCAAATGAAGGGCACTTTCTATTGATGACTACTTTTTGAAAATGTCTTGTATTTACACTTCAGCTGTATTTCACTTTACAGCAATGTCTTTTGGAGGCCAGGGTTTTGCATATCACAGGAAGCCTTAGTGTGCAACTCTGTGCTGTGCTTTAAAATAAAAATCTTTCAAGAAGTATATGAGATCTCTATGGAAATCTGGATTTATTTTTGTGTAAAGCCCAAAATATTGTCCAGGAAAACGAATTTTCTATTTTTTTTTTGCATTTTGTAATATAATCTAGTAGCTGATACATATTTCTAGATATAGCATATTTCTGGAGACCAAAACATGTCAGAAAATAAATATATTGAGAGACTGGTGTTTTAATTGTGATGGATGTACTTCTATTTATTTTGGTGAGTGGGTGTGATACAATATTAAAGTGTTAGTGTGTAAATAACAGTGCTTCTAGTTTTAGTCAATGATTTTTTTCCTTTGGGGATATCATGTGTGCACAGTGTCTTTTTACACAATGTGACAGAATCGGGTTAAAAACTCGTACATAGCTTACCTGCTTTCTGGTGCTGTCAAGGAAGTGTATATTTTAGCAGACGCCAAATGCATATAAATTTTGCAGAGTATGTATACAATAAATTACAGGCATTAAATATTTTACTGCTATTTCTCATTGGCTTACTTTTATGGAAGATTTATCAGAATTGCTTTCTGCTGTTTCTGAGCTCTCACATACAACAGTGTCAGTCTGAATGTTCTCTGAAAATGGTTCTCATGCAGCCAGCAAGAAGGTATGAAAAATGTAATGGAGTCACTTAACCCTTCAGAAAAATCTGAAAGTTCCTGAGTCTCCTGCAGTTTAGGCTTGACATGATATGTACTTGGAGGAATGTGTATTTAGAATGATAATATATCCAAGTGTGCCCATTGCCTTGAATATTTTGCATTTGAAGTGTTGACAAGCAGCATCCTTCTGGGTTTCCATATTCCCATGTAAGGGGTCTTAACTCCCTTGATGGCTGTCTCCTCTGGAAGGGTTTTCTGCTTTGATGGTGGAATTAAATGACTGTTCTGATCAGCTGGTGCTGTGACCCACTTCCAAATGGATGAATGGATACACATCAGTGAGCCCTTATGAGGAACAGCAATGCTTGCACACTCTTGTGCTTAAAAAAAACAGTCTTTTAAAATATTCCAAATCTGCATTTAACGTGTCCTATGACTACCTTGTTTTGAAGGCATGAAATCTCATCTTCTTTGGAACTACTGTGTATGGAATTCCCTTAAGATTTTTAATGTATCTTAATAGCTGTGATCAGTCAATCTCAGCCATTATTTCAGATGTGTTCTGTTCAGGAGGAGGGTGGTTCTACATTGAGTTATTATCTTAACCCAGCCAGTAAAGCTACTTCTGGAAGCAAAATTATTTCATTCAGATTGGGGAAAACCAAGTAATTTCAGGTTTCCTTTGTTTGGGGACAGCTTCTAGTTGTAGTTCATTTGGAATAAGACTTCAGTTTCACAAGACAGAACTGCAATTTATTTATCCCATATATAGCCTCTTCTTACCCCTGGAACTGCATATGGAGACATTTATTTTTCCATGAGCCTGGTAATCTAAAAAGCCTGGGTATACTATGCTTAACATACTCTGTGGAATGAAATTAAGGACGGAGGTAATTCCTGAAGTAATTATATATGTAATGAGTTTAGTTCTGACTTCTGTCTACAACTAATAGCTCTGGTTTTCCACACCACCTGGTGCTTAATTTGCTTGAGGGTTTCTCTGTTTGGTTCTTCATGGGAGTCTTGGGTTTTACCTACATCCTTCTCCCTCCACTGGCAAATTCATGAACTTTTTTTGTATCCTGGATGTAACTTTCTCAACATTCCTTGCTTGAGAACAGGTGAGTGTTCTGAACTGATGCCGTCTCTCATACTCTGTCTGAAAGTTCATGGCAGTCAACAGGTTAAAGAATCAAGAGCCTCAGTAGGTTTTTTTGGTTGAAGGAGTTGGCTTGATTCTGATTTGAAAAACACTCGAGTGTAGAGTTCCAGGTTTTGCAGTGCATGGGAATAACTGAATACATACCTATGAACACATAGAGTACAAAAGGCTGTTTGAGTGCCTTGCATGCACTTCTCCACGTGTGAAACCTCTCTTGTTGATTTCTTCAGGAGCGGTAAGTAGCTTCTTTGAGTGATGCAACTGAGGATACATGATGTATGTTGTGGATCTGTCCTCAGCTCCCTGTCATAAGGCAATAATTCTCCCTGCCACCTCCTTCCAGCTCTTGTGTTGTATGGATGCCTTGTGGTCCTTACAAATGTTCAGTATGTCAATAATTGACCAAACAAATAAATATGTAAGTAGAGCATCTTTGAATTGACCTGCTGCTCAGTAGCTAATGAATAACACTGATTATGGTTATTTTTGGACAGGGGGGACACTTTATCTGCAGAATGTGCAGGAAGGGTTTCTGAGACCTCCACAGTTGTGTCAAATGTGACTGTAAATGATATGTACACAAGCACCTAGTCCCACCTGGTCCTGGTGAATTTTGAGAGTTCAGGCTGAGGGATGTGCTGCTGTTACCACCCTCTTCCCCAGGCAAAAGGAGGCAGCCAGCAACCCCTTTATTAGTCTGGTTTCTATTTGCCAGCTGTGTACAAAGGGAATGTAGTAATGGCAGTGCATGGTGCATGTCATGGCCCAGGGCTATGGGGAGCCCTGTTTACAAGCGTGTGAGGTGCTGAAGCTGGCAGGAAAATGTAAGTATTTTGTGGAAAGTCTCTTCACTGTCTTGACAGTTGGCAATGAGAGCTGATGTACCTCATAGCTGCTGGCTTAAATCCAGCCTTGTTTGGTTGGTGTTTTGTAAGTGTTTGTTATGACATACAAAATGGTCCCAGTGTAGATCACACACATGGGTGACTTGCTGGTTGTTCAGAACAGAGGAGCATTGAGATAAATAATGCTCTTAGTCATGAGCTGAAGGTGGTTTGGGTTTTGTTAGGATGCTTGTTCCTGCCACTTTTGTTGTGGTTGGTCTGCATTTATTACCCGTTCTTTGGTATCTGGGATGATCACTTGAGTATATTTTAAAAGCTAATTTTCCCCATAGCATTTAATATTTACAAGTTGAACTTGTAATTTCCATTCCATTACTCTGAAGTTAATGTAGACAACTCAATAGCATTTCATGATTTTCCCCACTGGAGAAAATCCTTTAAAATGCTTCCTGGTTAGCAGTTTCCTGTTGTTGAGAATCCTTTCCCTTGGCTTTGCTCTAAGCTAGCATGTCTATAGATACAGGATGTTCACAGGTAAGCAGAATAATAAGACTGGTATTTAGAGAATGAAAGTTGGAGGCTGTAGAAATGTCATTTTCCTCTTGTGTAGAGCTGAATAAAATTCCAAAGCTGTATGCTGCAAGATAAGATCCAAGTCACCCCAAGACTATCATTTTGCTTTGCCCCCTCTCTTAGCCCTTGAGAAATTGCAGTTTATTTTTTGTTTCATTAACCATCTTAACTTCTACCAAGTCTCAAAAAAAAACCATCTTAGTCAGGAAGATGATCTGTACTGCTGGCAAAATGCTGGTTTTTAACACGTAGGGTAACCTTTTATGCAGTGAGGAGTTGTAATAATACAAGAGCTGGATAAATCCCAGCTTGGGAGAATTCCTATAGCTTGTCTGGTAAGAATGTATGTGACATTCTACGGCTTCATTAGGAAGAGTGTTCCCAGTGATGGGGGCAGAGGAGCTACTAGAGGAATACATGGAGTAGCAAGGCTGTGTGTTAGCCTACTAGCAAGATGTTTTGTTACCTAGAGATTAGTTTGCAATACTATGTTGATGTAATACAGAGTTATTCATTGCAAATGCTGTTTAGAGAAGATTTTGAGTCAGAGGGCACAGACCCAGCTTGGAACTCAAATGAGTTTGAACAGTGAATACTAAGTGAATCTGTAGTTTGGGTGCAAGCTTAATCAGGGGTGACTTCTAAGCCTCAAATAGAAACACTACTACCAGCAGCAGTGTGTCACTGTCACAGGGATGTGGTCACTGTCCTGGTTGCTATGATTGTTTTGGTTATGTATGAACACAGATTTTTAAAATGTTTCAAAGCATCAAACTTACTAATAACTAAATACCTATCAGACTTTGCCAGTTGTTTTTACTGTGAAATAAATCTCAAGCACCTATTTTTTTCTTATTAAAATTTAAAATGAATGTTTTATTCTCAAACATTATAGTAAGACCTTTATGAAACAAAATTATTTTCAAATTATCTCTTAAAAGGTTTAGATAAACCTTCATGCCAAGCATTCTGTAGCAGTTTAACTGAAGATGTACTATGCTTGCTGGGCAAATTGCTGGAATCTGCAATGCCAGTTCCTGAAGGACTGATCTTGTCCTACTTTCCAAACTGAATGTTGAAGCTGTAAGATCCTTCATTACCTCGCACACAACAACTTCAGCACAGAAGCAGAATCAGCATCATTAAGCATTATGTATGATGGAGAAGCTTAATGAAGGTTGTTCTAAACCTAATTATTTTCTGCTATGGCTGTATCAACAACCTGTGCTCTTAGTTACCATCTGCTTCAGGCCTCAAATCAGTGGCCTGAAGTAAGGGGGAAAAAAATTGTATGAGCTTGCTCAAGATCTTGCTCCTTGTAAAAATGTGCTGCTATCATGCTTGGTCTGTCCTGTTCTGTCAGTTTTCTGGGCAGCTGGGGGAACAGAACTGGCATTTGTCACCATTTACCTTGCTGGACCTACTGTGTTTTCCGCTGAATTGGCTATCAGACTTGCATGGCCCATTTTCCAAAAGGTAGCTTTCCAGTCTCTCTGTTGTGTTGTAGGGAGGCTTTAAAAGTAAGAGACTAATGTTGGGAAATAAATACATCTCAGGTTTGTAGGAAATAAATTCATGTCAGGTTTGTATTTACATACTTGTAATTCCATAAAGTTGCAAATCAGTTTTGATAATGTCAACACAGAGGGAAGAAATCCCTGTGTCCCTATAATATCTATGTATGGTCACAAGGATGGTGAAGGGTCTGGAGGGGAAGCTGTAGAAGTGGATGAGGTCACTTGGCTTGCTCAGCCTGAAGGAGATGGAGAGGAGATGTCGTTGCTGTCTACAGCTTCCTCATGAGGGGAAGCAGGGGGGCAGGCACCGATGTCTTTGTGTGGTGACCAGTGACAGGACTGGAGGAACTGGCGTGATGTGGGCAGGGGACGTTCAGGTTGGATATCAGGAAAAGGTTCTTCACCCCGAGGGTGTTTGGGCAGTGGAACTGTTCCCCAGGGCAGGGGTCACACACCAACCCTGGCAGAGCCAGAAGTGTTTGGACAATACTCTCAAGCACATGATGTGTGTGACTCTTGGGGTGTCCTGTGCAGGGCCAGCAGCTGGGCTCCATGATCCCGGTGGGTCTCTTCCAACTCAGCGCAGTTGGTGATTCTATGAACAACAACTTGATTTACTGCATCCTTAAAGCTTGTTCGTTCACGGATGTCCGTGACTGGACGCTGGCTGCCGCCTCTTCATTTGGTTAGGTATGAAAGTATATAATGATTTTACATCAAACAAGATCCTGGCTTAAGATAATGTCGACACATTGCACATTTTGCAACGGCACG